GGGCTGTGAGCTCGTTCACCCATCTAAACAATAAAAAAAAATATTACATATTTTGCCCCGGTACTCAAGTTTTCAAAACTAATTTGGTCAGAAACTAATTTGGTCTGATGTGTTTTAAACGTTGACCCATGCGATAACATTACATTTCTAGTTTAAGTAATATTTAAGATAAAGATTACATACATGTTTTTTTAAAGAATAAACTAAAACACACTGTCTATGGAAGGTAAATCTCACATGGGATATTCTCCTTCAAATATTTGAACACCCTAATCCAATAATATTACGTTTCAAGTCGGTCCTATTCTGTAAATATTTACCTTCGTAATGTTCAAGTAACTAAGTTTACATCGCTAATTGAGAGGGTAGATTCAAGTTTGACCGGTTCATTAGTTATTGAATACTCTTATACATTGTAATTTAAGACGATTATGAACCCTCGAACACTTTCCCTCTTCGAAGAAAATTTAATTAGTTCATTAATAAACTTGTCTATGCTAACAGGACTCATACCTTTATAATGGCAATTATTTGGTAGTATTACTTAAAATATTCATCGATAATTTTATTAGAACATTTATTGGGCAGTGGACAGACTTTTGCGGAATTATGTTTTTTTTTAATTGGTGCACGAACTCGCGATCCACCTGATGTTAAGTGGTTACCCGAACCCATAGACATCTACAACGTAAATGCCGCAAACCTCTTTGAGACATGAGTTTTAAGGTATCAGTTTTTACAGTAGAACGGCTGCCTCACCCTTCAAATCGAAACGCATTACTGCTTCACGGCAGAAATAGGTAGGTTGGTGCTACCTACACGTGCGGACTTGCAAGATGTCATTGTGCAAACTACAATTTTGCGGGTTCAATTTTTGTTACACAATGTTATTATTTGATTGTTTAATTGTCCTTCTTAAACATTTGTGAAGTACGTAGTAGTTCGTTAGAAAAGCTAGCGTCCTGCGGGATTCGAACACTGTTGCATCGCTTGATTCGAATGAACCGGGTGTCTTATCCTTTAGGCCACGAAGCCTTCAAAATGTGTCACTTCAACGTGTGCATTTACTATAACTAAGTTGTTATAAGTAACAAATCATTTTCACAAAATGATTTGACTTTTGAACGCTATAAATTCCGAGACGTTCGAAGCTTTCAATGCCTTTCAGATATTTCAATGCAACAAACCAATACATGAATCAAAAGTGAACTTGTCTACCTGTTCGACTTTCTATACAATCTTACAAAAGTTCAACGAACTTTCTGAATGTGAAACAGTCAGTCAAGCGGAAAACAAAAGAGAGTCGTAATTAAAACTTTGTTCGGATTCAGCGGATAGAATTTTTTATTAGCATTGGAATAATCGAGAGCGATCAAACAATAGAAAGGTAAATCCCAAAAACCGACCGAAATCTGTTTTATCTCTTCAAAAAAGTGCATTTTATTTGAAACCCGACCATCGACCTCCCATTGAAGTTAAAAACAAGGGATGTTCCTAAAAATGTATTTGCTTGAACGGAACTTACGCAATACAGTCGAAAAGCTCTTCCNTAGCATTGGAATAATCGAGAGCGATCAAACAATAGAAAGGTAAATCCCAAAAACCGACCGAAATCTGTTTTATCTCTTCAAAAAAGTGCATTTTATTTGAAACCCGACCATCGACCTCCCATTGAAGTTAAAAACAAGGGATGTTCCTAAAAATGTATTTGCTTGAACGGAACTTACGCAATACAGTCGAAAAGCTCTTCCGTAAAACCCGAATGATGTCGGCGGTCAAATATCAATTTTAGAGTTCCCACATTCAATTTGAAAGGCTGCTGGGATAAGACGCCACTTAAGTCTTCAAGCAATCTCCATATTATTTGACTTTGTGGAAAATGAATTTCTTGAATGATGGAAGTACACGTAATATTTCTCAGCGTATAATATAACATATTTCAAATTCAAAACTACTTGTATATTCTACGTTAACTTAAATACAACGTTTTGAATAATAACTTAGTAACAATTGCTCTCAAAATCTCATGTTACATGAACACAAGCTCAGTAAAAGTTTCTGACAGACGTATGCCTAAATTAACAGAACGCCAAAACAGTTCTCATCTTTGTGTGTTGTTTTCGTCTCGCTGTTAAAACATTTGACTTGATAATATAACTCGACACTAAAATATTGGACGGGAGCATGCTTAACAAGAACAAAACATCGACGTGTCTTCCGAATTTAATTTAAAAGAACCACAGTCATTTGTTCACTCGTTTCCCCGGAACGAGCCAAAACGAATTTTCAGTACGCCGCCGAGCGCTTTACATTCTTCATGGGGCCTAATTTTGCTCCCGGTGAATGAATACAAACAAATTTTTCTTTATTTCACGACCAACACTAGATTATATGTTGCGCCAGCGTTACAAAACGAATGACTTACGTAAACTGTCATCGTGCCTAACACCCGCTGCCATTAACAGAATTAAGTTACAAAAATAATTAAGATTAAAACATTTTCGGTGGCAGTCCCGTAATTATTACAAGGCAGGGAATTAAGTCTGTTTAGTTGTTTATGGGTGTCGCATGCTTGTAAGAAAACATTAAGGATACGAGAAGTGGTCTGAGTTGGTCGCGGCCGGGGCGTAAAGTTAGGAACTTCATCTTAATGCTGAGTGGCGTCCATTAGCAAGATAACTTTTCCGAGCACCGCGAAACATAAGACGGAACAATCCTGGTTTTGGCGAAGCATCACATTCTTGGGAATAACTAAACAGCTCGAATAAAATTAATTTTAGTTCAATACAAAAATTAACTCCTGTTTCGTTTATCAAGCAAATTTACACAATATCAAACTGCGGCTTTGCTTGACATTGTTTTTTTTTATGATTGAAAACAATGTCAAACAAAGCCGCAGTGTAGGTACTTTTTTGCGCAAAAACTGTTGTATAAACCCTTATCTTCTAGAAGGGTTTTAAAGCAGTTTTGTTGCCAAAAGTAACATTCTTTGTTTAAATATTATATATGAAAATTAAGTATCAGATTGATATAAGTGCACATAAATGTTTGAACCACCAAACCGTATATTATTATGTACATAATTGCTGTACATAATAATATACAAGGCGGATTGTTAATACATTTAATTAATTAAGTTAATAATTTACTGGTGGTAGGACCTCCTGTGAGTCCGCACGGGTAGGTACCACCGCCCCGCCTATTTCTGCCGTGAAGCAGTAATGCGTTTCGGTTCGAAGGGTGGGGCAGCCGTTGTAACTATACTGAGACCTTAGAACTTATATCTCAAGGTGGGTGCGTCGTAGATCTATGGGCTCCAGTAACCACTTAACACCAGGTGGGCTGTGAGCTCGTCCACAAATCTAAGCAACAAAAAAATAAAAATAAAAATTCACAAAAAAGTTAATTTTTCAGAATAATTACCTTAAAAATCTCAGTAAATTTATAACAAGATCTTTTTGCGTACATTTATAATAATATGTTATATAATAAACACTCGTTTCTTAAAAACAATACTAACTTACTTTGTTCTTCAAAGTAATTTGTTTTCTCTTTAATTAAAATAAGCCGCCCTTGGAAAGATTTCACTAGAATCTTCCAGCACTAAATAGTTAATTTCCATACAGAAAGCTTTCTTTTGGTGGCTAATTACAGCCGTGTTTTGTATTTGTTTAAAAAGCTCCGAAGCTACCGTCGCTCATTACTCATCTCAGTAATAAGCGTCAAAATGATTTATTTCTCGCTTACTTATTGGAATGAAGAATGTTTTTTTGTAATTTAAATTTCGAGCTTTTTAGGGCTCGAATTTTCAAAAGTCACGTATTTGTACAAATAAATTGGTTCGTCAAATATGCTGAAATCATGATTACAAAATTTTAGCAATCTATTTACCTTGATAAATTACTTGCTTTTGTGAGTAAAAAATTTCATTGCGAAATCTGAAACTTTATATATTTTTCGCTAACTTGTTTTTTGCTCTATATCGTTGGGGGAGCTTATGGTCCATGGTCACTAGAGCCTGTAGACATACATCGTGAATAACGTCTGCCAGTTTGAAACATATAATTGAAAATGTCGACGAGTACGGCAACCTGGGACAAATTGTCTAACTACGTAATAGGTTCAACTTCGAGAAAGAAATCAATCGTCGAATCCAACTGGATAGGCAGAGTTTGGGAAACTGCGTAAAATCTTCTCATCCCAAACACCGCAGTGTCTCAAGGCGAAAGTCTATGGACCAGTGTATATTGCCAGTTATGCCATCGGCTATGAAACATGGTCGCCGACAATGCGCCTTATCAGAAGGCTCAAAGTCACTCAAAGAGTAATGGAAAGGACATGCGAAGGGTATGCTCGGACATTCCTTGCGAAATCGAATCGGGAATGAAGAGGTTCGCAAAAGAACTAAGGTTACTGACATAGCCTGAAGGATTGCAAAATTGAAGTGGCAGTGGGTAGGGAACATTGCTCGCAGAACAAAAGATGACCGCTGGGGCTGAACATTCTCGAATGGCGACCACGTACCGCTAAGAGCAGCGTTGGTAGGCTTCCCACGAGGTGGACTGATGATCTGCTAAAAAACACGGTAATCTTTTGGATACAGGGTGCGCAAGACCGGTTATTGTGGCGAATCTTGGGGAACGTCCAGCAGTGGACGAGCGTAAGCTGATAAAAAAACTTTTATCCTTCCCTTCAAACCAAAACGCATGTCAGTTTGTGGGCAAAAAGGGACAGGACAGTATCCCACCCGTATAGGCTTGCAATACGCCCTACCAGCAATAGATTAGCCAATAAAAGTATAATATTCTAGTATTGTTATTATTGACATGGAAGACCGGTGCAACTGTAAAATCGACCCGTTACTGTTACCTATACGGATCTATTGCTACAGAAATTTCATGTTTGGAGAGGATCAATATTTTTTTACTGAGTGACCTACAAGGAACTGACACTTAAGCATCGCTTCTAAAAATTAATTAAATACTTTTCTTTGTTCGCAGTTTTGTCAACGGAGGTGGACGACGATGAGCCATTTCTTGAAATATTGGCACGATCCACGATTTACAATACTGGAGAGAGAAAGGCGATTTTTTGCAGAGGAAAAAATTTAGTAGAGGTACCTCTTTTTTTCCATTTATAAATTATCACTTAATCAGAAAATAGTATTAGTTACTTGCCAGTATCTTCTGATTGACTGCTGGACTAACAATGATCTTAATAGATTTTCCAGCTTCAAATATAAACCCTTTTACTAGAATTTGAGCTATGTATAATAATAGATTTATAAAATTCTAAAAGCTTGAATCAAAATAAATATTATTGACAAAAAAACACGAATAATAAATTGAACGGGGCTGTATTCTTAATTTACAAAGATTTTTACTTTCTGTATTTCCCCAATTGTCATTCTGAAAGCGACACCTTTTTAATAGGTACTCCAATACTCAAAGGCAGTTTGTCTAAAGATAAAATTTAAATTGCTTTGTACTTTTCAAATCATCGTTTCTTTTTGTGGAATAGAACGTTGACCGAGCACATGACAATCTTGGTATTGAGTATTTAGCCGTCTAATAGGCAACACAGCCTGTGGGCTTAGTGCACATATTTTAACTTCTCGATCGCGTAAAAGTTAACTCTAATTTTTACATTTAACTTCTCGATCGCGTAAAAGTTAACTCTAATTTTGTACATTTAACTTCTCGATCGTGTAAAAGTTAACTCAAATTTGTACATTTAACTTCTCGATCGCGTAAGTTAAAAATCTCTCACTAAGCACACTGATGCCAACTGCCTTTAGATTATCGATTGAAACGATTTAATTCCAATGACATTGGAGTAACCACTATGCTACTATACTGCTAAAAAAACCGAACTAAATATGTAGTAGTATCAACTCATACAATATACATCACGGCCTCCAATATCTATGGTGGGAATTAAGGGGAAAATAAATGGAAAATTAAGGTGATCAGTACGACCCCTATAGTAGTAATAGCTGAAGCAGTCAGGGCAGGGTCTTCTGATCAGTACCGGCAAGATGGCAGATCTTCATTAAAACATTCTGAACAAATAGAAATCAATAGGCAGGTTATTACAGGAGGTAGGACCTCTTGTGAGTCCGCATGGGTAGGTACCACCGCCCCGCCTATTTCTGCCGTGAAGCAGTAATGCGTTTCGGTTTGAAGGGTGGGGCAGCCGTTGTGACTATACTGAGACCTTAGAACTATATCTCAAGGTGTGTGGCGCATTTAAGTTATAGATGTCTATGGGCTCCAGTAACCACTTAACACCAGATGGGCTGTGAGCTCGTCCACACATCTCAGCAATAAAAAAAAAAAAGAAAAAGGTAGTTACAGGTTATACCTATATAAGTTAAAGAGTAAGTCTATTGTACTTTCTTAAAATGATAATGATAATTATAAAACATGCCATAGTACTCAATCAAAATATGAACATTAGAGTTTTATTGTAAAATTGTAATGTGTTACCATTACAATTTCTTAGCAATGTGTTACCATTACTATTTTACACACGGAAATGACATGACTGTATGACATTTAAAAAAAAAAAGTATTTTTATTTTTGAACCACAAAGCTATTTTATTTTAAAACCAATAAGAATATTTCGATCAAAAACACACTGAACATATTCTTAGAGCAATCGTTATAACGCTGTTTAGGTACATTGCTATTGACCAAGAAAAGAATGTAAAAAAAAAAACATAATTAAATTTTCAGCCCATTAAATGGTACTCTCCTTCGGGAAAACTAATAGAAGCGCAATCTTTGAAAAACAAGAGAGTATACGTTGAAAGAATTGTTGAGGAATCCGGGGAACATGCGCCGTTAATCATCCAATACATCAAGATTGCGGACAACGGTAACTGGACTTGCAGGTCTGGAGATTTGAGTGAAACCATACAATTCATTGTCGGAGGTTTGTATAATAATTTTTGTGCTTCGATAATGCCGTCGATTTCATTTACGGAATATCCTCCAATGAATTAAAGATAAAGATATTATTCGCATGGGAAATTGAAATTATGTGTGATAATTAATTAGTTGTGTTTAAATTAACATTTATATCGGAATAAGAATTAAGATAACAATCTTTAAAAACTACTAACCGTACTCGCCCGCTTCGCTGGGCATTTAAAATTAACATTATTATTTATTGTCATTATTATTAGGGAGTCCAACGCTCATATAAATATTAGCCTATCCATTAAGTACATGTATTTTCTACATGGATACCAAGTTTCAAGTCAATCGGATGCATGGTTCAGTAGTTATAACGGAACATCCGTAAAAACCACTGTAGATTTATATATTAGTATAGATATTAAAATGCAAATCACAAATTGTTTTCACAGAAAAGGTGAACATTACTAACAGGAATGTTGAAAGAGAAGGGGAAGAAGGAAAATCAATTGTGCTAACCTGTGAAGCCAAGGGACATCCGACACCGGTCGTAGTTTGGTACAAAGAAAATTCTCGAATCCCTAGTGAGTGTTCAACCATCACCGATAAAACGATATAACATACTAGCTTTTGTCCGCGCAGCCGTTCGCGTGGATTAGTTACTTTGGCATAACGCTAAATTTTACCCCCACTTCATTTACATAGAAAATGAAAATATTTTTGAATTATAGAATGTTATGGAGCTATTTAAATCCCTATTTTGAAAAATTCTTTATTGGTGCTCCACTTGTATTGGCCTTACCGTGATGTTATATAGCCTATATAGTATATAGTCTTCCTCAATAAATGGGCTATCTAACACTGAAAGAATTTTTCAAATCGGACCAGTAGTTCCTGAGATTAGCGCGTTCAAACAAACAAACTCTTCAGCTTTATAATATTAGTGTACATTAAAATTTATAAAAATCAACACGCAACACAAACGCATCGAAAGTAAAACAAATGTAAAACGCCTAAAAAATATATTATTTTAAAGTTATTTTTTAATAATCAAGAGATTTAAATCTATTTCAAATACTTCAATTAGTAATCATTGTATCTAGAATAATAGCTTTTGATCGTTTTCTAAAAAGTTCAAAATACAAATTGAAATGCTTATAAACCTATAATCCTTAGGTCACGGTTTGTGATTAGTCTCTACCAAAGTGTCTACCAAGTAGTGTCTACCAAAAATGAAATATTTTAATTGAATTGCATTTCAGAGGACGTACGAATCTTCTCCGTTGTCTCATACTAAAGTAATATCGTTCCTTTATTAATTTTACCGTATCAGTTACGTCTAGTCAGTAATTTACAGTAATCAGAGTAACTAAAATCCTAACTATGACTACAGATGATACTAAAAAGTACGAGCACAGGGCTGACAACTCGTTGGAGATCAAGAATCTGAACCACGCTGATGTCGGACTGTACGTGTGCAAAGTTAGACAAAAGGCGCTGTCCTACTACACAGACAAAACAGTCCGTCTTTCTGTCCTACGTAAGTTATATCTATATATTAATACGTGAAACAAAAACTTTGTATCCCTTTTTACGAAAATTGCGTGGACGGAGGAGTATGAAATTTTCCACACTTATACAGAATATAGAGAAGAAGTGCACAATGCTAATATTTTTTTTTAAATAATGCATAAAAGATACATTAAATCAATAAAGAAAAAATTACACACACTACATACCATGACAATGTATTTGACGCACACACGCATGCATACTATTTATTGTCAAACTTTTGTTCTTGACGTCTGTGGTCAAATTGAGAATAGATTAAATATTGTTGGTCTTTGTTAATATTTTTCATAGTGTAGTTTTGGTGAAATTTGTGATTATAGAAGTACAAAATACAATCATAATAGTGTACAAACATACAATTCCAATTAATTATAGTCGAATTTCGACTACTGCGGGACCTCTAGTTTATATTAGAAACGTTTCATATTTTTAACGATCTCAGCCTAACTAGAAATACTAGTTCGCATCTACTGATGAGATTAAAGTGGAATGCAAATTATGCGGATATATTCCGTGCTCGCAGATCGTATTAACTGGCATCCTTATTTCTGCTACAAAGTAAGCGCGCGTTCTAATATAAAAAAAATACAGCCTTTTTAGTATATAAATAAAAATCTCAAGTAGCAGGTAGCATTCAGACTCTGGAGTCCATAAATCCGGTAATCACTTTTCGTGAGGTATTTGCAAGCTGGATTATTAATCTGTAGATGAACTATAAAAATAACTAAGACAAAATTTTAATGGATTCTCATGTCTTATACATGACATATAAACACTACAAGCAAACACCGCTCTTCAAATTTATCTATGCTAAAATTACAAATGACACAATTTTAACGGCCGTCTGATGTAGTGGTAAGTGACATGGTCACGACACAAGGGGTCGCGGGTTCGAATCCCGCCAAGGGAAGATATTTGTATGATAAATATAAAAAAAAGTCTTTTCCAGGCTTATGGATGTATATTAAGTATATGTATGTGTATAATAAAATTCTTACATTTATTTCCGTTATCTGGTACCTGTAACACAAGTTCTTACGAACTTAGCACGGGACCAGTTAACGTGGCGTGATTGTTAGTAAATATTTATTACTGTTATTACTATTACTATTAAACGTTTTTTTTTTTTATTGCTTAGATGGGTGGACGAGCTCACAGCCCACCTGGTGTTAAGTGGTTACTGGAGCCCATAGACATCTACAACGTAAATGCGCCACACACTTTGAGATATAAGTTCTAAGATCTCAGTATAGTTTTACAACGGCTACCCCACCCTTCAAATCGAAACGCATTACTGCTTCACGGCAGAAATAGGCGGGGCGGTGGTACCCACCCGTGCGGACTCACAAGAGGTCCTACCACCAGTAAACAAGAGATCCTACCACCAGTAATACACATTAATACATTTAATACACATTAATTTATAAGAATATCTATCCTGCCATTCAAGGTTTTTCTTATAGTGTAGCAGACATAAGCGGAACGGTGGTAGACTGTAGATTAACAATTTATCATAATATATTTTTTCAAAGATCATTTTTAGGACACTCTACTATAAATCTCCTTTGACAATGGAACAAATATACTAGAAACTATTTTGGTAAAGTAGAAAATTAGTTTTGAGATTACTCTGTTTCCCTGGGGCCAAACTAATGACCTCTTATGCAACATACTAAAGTAAGCACAGAGTTTGTGAAACAACTTTTAAAACGATTGTCTACTTCCAACATCATGTTGACGTTTGATAACTATGTGACTTGAATCCCTTAGCTTTCAATAGTGAATTAAAATGTGCCCTTAAATATGTTAATTAATTATATAATAGTAATTCACTTAAAGAGAATGCTTAGACCGTTTATTAGATAATCTTCTTTGTGAGTCATTAATGGTCGTGAAAAGATTAAGCCACTACAGTGTCAACGCAGTCACCTTATGTCTTCTATTTATCCTATGAAATCAGACAGTGTGTCTTTAATTTCACTAAATCGTAAAAAAAATATCTAAAAATTGTTATGTACTATGTATTAACTATATTAAGTATAATTATTAAATTATGTGATGATGTTTTTGCGGCCATCCATTGCTCATAAGCATTTGTGAGACACGACAGACATTAATTAAATTCGTGTAATAAACTAACGATAATAATATTAGTTAATTAATAACATATTACATATTTTGTAGCCTCACGGGAAATTAGTTTCAATAATGTTTCCCACAATTATTACTATATTAAACAACAATTTTTGAGATATCGATACTTTGGCTAATTTACACTCTCGCTAATTATAAATGGAATATATATGTATATGCCTCTAAATATTAATATTTTGGTTTTACATGCTGGTGTGATTTGCGATGAAATTGCTGATTGCCTTGATAAGTTTCGGATGAATAGGGATTGCGAAATAAAATGGCGATCAATAGTATATTACTAATATATTACTATAGTACATTATATATTATAGTATCTAAATATTAATACGTGAAGCAAAAACTTTGTATCCCTTTTTACGAAAATTGCGCGGACGGCGGAGTATGAATTTTTCCACACTTATAGAGAATATAGAGAAGAAGTGCACAATGCTAATATTTTTTTTAAATAATGCGTAAAAGATACATTAAATCAATAAAGAAACCATTACACACACTACATACCATGTATTTGACGCACACATGCATGCATACATGCATGCATACTATTTATTGTCAAACTTTTGTTCTTGACGTCTGTGGTCAAATCGAGAATACATTAAATATTGTTTGTCTTTATTAATATTTTTTTATAGCGTAGCCTTGGCGAAATTTGTGATTATAGAAGTATAAAATACAATCATAATAGTGTACAAACTTACAATTCCAATTAACTATAGTCGAATTTCGACTACTGCGGGATCTCTAGTATTACTATAATGCCTAAATAATATAACTCTGTTTTCAATTTGCACTCGAAAAAATGAAATTTAAATGAATTGAAGATTGGTAGGGAATAATATTAGAAATCAATCGTCTTATTACCATTTAAAAAAAGTTTACATCGTCACTTGAAGTTTTTAGAAAAAGTATATTGCATAAATGTGGATAAACGTTTTGCATATTAGAAAATTTCATTTTTTATTCGATCACTATATCGATTTCCACAGTTAAATAAAAAGCTCGGAAAATAAAAAATACAGGAATATACGTAATTTCTGTAAGGTCATGAAAGCTCTGTCTTTATGCCACGAATCAATCATTCGTTTCAATTCGAAGTGAACGATAGTCGATAATACAACTGAATCTACAATTATTTTAATGCTATTGTCATTCAATTTGCCGTGTTTAAGTTGCAGTAAACGATTATTTCAAGAGCTTTACACTCAAATACTCACACATCTATAATATAGATTCTTTATACAATATTCGTCTTATTAAATACATATTTGTTTATTTTTTTTTGCCCAACAATGTCATCAAAACAAATATCAATTGTTAGTTTTTAAACCTATATTAATACATCACTGAAAATTGGAAATACTTATACCGGCTTAACAAAGTTTGTTCAATCCAAAGCTTGAGAGGTAATTGATTCCACAATGATACTTTACATTCGAAGTGATATCACCATAAACAGACATGTTTAAATAAATTAGTATTACTTGATAAAAATAGGTAGGCTATTTTTTTTATTTCTTCTTGCATCTTATTCAAAAGATGTTTAAACAAACATCTTTTGAATAAGATAGGAGTGGGTAATATCGGTTTTGCCGCGTATCGAATCGTATCTATATATCGAGGATCAATATCGGATATTGAATCTATATATTTTCTGAATCTATATATTGATGGATGCTAGTAGATTTTCTCGATTCATGATATTTGAGATTTGAAACGATACGCTGATATAATATCGTAGTAGATATAGATTTAAGTCAACGTTATACGGTTGGTTTTCTGATATCAATTTATAATATGATCTTAAAGTAATAAAAAGAACATGAAAATAAAAATATCAAAAAAACTTTCCTTCATGCTTTTACCAGGCTTAGGACTGGCTACATTATTTTCAGTTTTTAGTATTTTGTGTCTTAATTTAAAATTACAAAATATACCAAAAGAGTGTAGATTTCAAAAGTTTAATACAAACACAAGAAATAAACTCAATTATTTGGATTCAACTAAAAATAGAAAAATGTGTACTTTAAAAATCAAACACAAAAAACTTTTAAGTATTTATAAACACTTGTCCAAAAATTCTAGTTCAAGGTCAAAGCGCGTGAAATTAAATTCAACGATGCAAATAGGCTATACTGCATTCAAGTTAGGGTCGAAAGTTGAAACTTCTTTCCTTAATTGTATCCTGCTGATACGCTAAGAATAATCTACAGACATATGGACTTAAATATAAGGTTTACAATTGTATGGATAATGCCTGTTTCTGTTTCATTCATCACATGATATCCCTATCGTGCGCTCACTCACTCTGGCCGATTCGATACGAACCAAACGAATATTGCTGATATTAACGAATCGGTACGATATGCCGATGCGCATCACATCGAGCAATATCGTGTATCGGCTGATATCGAAATATAGATTTCGATTCACGAATCGGTACGATATGGCGATGCGCATCACATCGAGCAATATCGTGTATCGACTGATATCGAAATATAGATTTCGATTCACGAATCGGTACGATATGCCGACGCATCACATCGAGCAATATCGTGTATCGGCTGATATCGATATATAGATTTCGTGCGGGGCGATATCGGATTCAACGATATTGCTGCGATATATAGATATTGAATCTATATACGATTTATATCACCCACTCCTAGAATAAGATCACAGCGGACTCACATAAGTAAACACTTATGTGAGTCCGCACGGGTAGGTACCACCGCCCTGCCTATTTCTGCCGTGAAGCAGTAATGCGTGTCGGTTTGAAAGGTGGGACAGCCGTTGTAACTATACTTGAGACCTTAGAACTTATATCTCAAGGTGGGTGGCGCATTTACGTTGTAGATATTTATGGGCTCCAGTAATCACTTAACATCAGGTGGGCTGTGAGCTCGTCCACCTATCTAAGCAATAAATAAATAAAAACTTATAAAAAGCGCCAGGCTCCACAACAAGTGCGCAAGTCCTTATGATCGGCTCCGATAACAGCTTTTTTATACACCCGTTATATTGTGTAAAATAAGAATTGAATAAACATTAAAACTACTACCAAATATTGAACTTGGCAATTGAAAGCGCGGTGAAGTTAGTCAGAATATAAATCAGGAACAGACATTATCCAGCGGTCTGTTCCAAATCTAATGAAAGGAAAGAAAAACATGAACTAGTGTTCAAGAAGTTAACTTGCTTTCTTAATTTACTTTGGGTTTCAAGATCCCATTTCACAGAACCTTGAAAATTAATGAATAACGAAAATTTTGTTTTTGAAAATTGTGCAGAAGAGTTAATTATCTTCTTTAGTTTTTGAAAATTGTGCAGAAGAGTTAATTATCTTCTTTAGTTTTTGTTAAAATTGTGCAGAAGAGTTAATTATCTTTCTCAATTACTTTTTAGATAAGCCGATTCTGTATAACAACTTCACGGGAACGATCGACACCACGAAATACAAGACTGAAGAAGTTTACGCAATCATGAATGAAACGTAAGCATTGTAAATTAACGATTAATTGATTTAACTGTATTGTTATTCATTATACAAAGAATAATTGTTCGTTTGAAAATACTTGAGTATAATAAAAACCATTGTTTTTACCTGTTTCTTACTGGTGGTAGGACCTCTTGTGAGTCCGCGCGAGTGGGTACCACTACCCTGCCTATTTCTGCCGTGAAGCAGTAATGCGTTTCGGTTTGAAGGGTGGGGCAGCCGTTGTAACTATTCTTGAGACCTTAGAACTTGTATCTCAAGGTGGGTGGCGCATTTACGTTGTAGATGTCTATGGGCTCCAGTAACCACTTAACACCAGGTGGGCTGTGAGCTCGTCCACCCAACTAAGCAATAAAAAAAATAAAAAAACAAAGAAAAAACATACATATGTTGGTTGAAAATGCGATGTTTTTATCTATTCAAATTGTTTAAATGAATATTTTTTTTATTTTTGTTTTAATGTTGCGGCGTTAAGGATGGCAACAAATATTGATATAGAATACCGCCAATAGTTTTATTATCTTGTTGAGCATATCACTATTCAGTATGAAGTTTAATTTTGTTGTGCGAAGCTTGAAATTTGATTATCACTTCGTTTTGAACATTAATCATGCGCTTCATCAAGTGCCCAAATATTCTTGTTAATAAAAACTTAGCAATAACGCAATTGCAGATTTAAAAAAGGAATTATAATCTCGCAAAATATCTGTTACAGCGCGACATGTGTTTGACATTATTTTACATTACCTATATTAGTATATTGACCTAAAGCCAAATATTCTCGTTAATCAAAACTTAACAATAACACAAAAGCAGTTTTAAAAAAGCAAATTACAATCTCGCAAAATATCTATTATAGTGCGCCATGTGATTGACATGATTTACATTAGTATATTCATTAGTACAATTAGTACATTTAATTTGTTTTATGTTATATTACTATTTTCAGGAAGAACATCACATGCAGCGCTATCGCAAACCCCCCGCCGACTTACACCTGGTACAGAAGAAACAATGGTTACGACGATGATGTTCCTATCACTGACGAGGAGATGGTACGTTAAACGGTGATGCTTGTAATTGTTGACAGGGTTAACCTAAATTAAATCAATCAATTAAATTAGTAATTTGCGAAAAATTGCATTTCTATCAATATTTATGGGTTACACGCAATAAATAAATAAATAAATATTTACTAACAACCACGCCACGTTAACTGGTCCCGTGATAAGTTCGTAAAGAACTTGTGTTACAGGTACCAGATAACCGAAATAAATGTAAGATTTTTATTATACACATACATATATTTAATATACATCCATAACCCTGGAAAATACATTTATATTTATCATACAAATATCTTCTCTTGGCGGGATTCGAACCCGCGACCCCCTTATGTAGTGACCATGTCACTTACCACCAGACGGCCGTTAAAAATGAAACACAGACAAAAATCTAGTGACGCACGGGATTTACATTTTCTAGCAAATTAAATGCGGTGAATGTTCGCCAGTCTTTACATTAGTTTACGTGTCCATTTAACATAAACTTACCTAAAAATATGTTTTGTAAAGCTTTTTATAAAAATATATGAAAAAATAAATGAAAATATCCTGTATTATGAGAAAACGATAAAAAAAAGTTTGCTTGACAGGGTAGTTTTCATGAAAAAAATAAAAACTAAAAGATGCAATAATTATTATGCAATAATTTTTATATTATTATATTTTTGTTATTTTGTTAAAAAGGTATTGAATAAAATGTATCATAAACTGATTGTCTACATTGTAAGCTTTCAAATGACACCTCTTTCGTCTTCCTAAGACGTCTACATCGATAGCAATGATTGAATCAGTTCAGGTGCCCGATCTGCGAAGTAAAAAAAAAATGGTTGCCATTTTAGTACCCCTCCATACCAAGAGAAAATTGGGATAGTAATTTGTCGATAAAAATCCCCATATTTTCCCCCTTAAGTCTCCGACATTGGTGCACGGATACATTGTATACATGTCAAAATCTCTATTTCCGTTTCCTCATTAGGATCCGCTGGAGTTTATGTGACATACGGCTTCTACCAATTTTCTTATACATTTAAAAAAAAGTGTTCTTCTATAATTAATTATTTAATTTATTTTGTTATTTATTGAGGCTTCGAATTAAATTTTCAATTTAAAAAATTGAAATCCTTTAAGATTTAGTAAGCAGTTCGCTTGTCTCGATCGCACGGTTTACATGCCTAGCAGGTACCGACACGTTTCTATCTCTGTCTAACAACGTAAACCCTAGACAAGATTTAACCATTCTTCAAGATTTCCAAAGACCACGCACATCAAACTTGTGCCACACATCGGACTTAGGACTGTATAACATTTGAATAACGGTTTTCCTTGAGATCCAGTTCTAGATCTCAAAATATTTTTGTGTGATATTGATGTGATCATCGATCGTAGATCGATGGATGTGATAATAACCTATTATCATCGCTCATGAACGTCAGCAATTCTCGTGTCACTCGACCGAGTATCCGTAAATGGCATCCCCAGCGTTAAAAAAAAAATGGGGCCCGGCCAATTCTTTGCATGGGTATCAAATGTAATTCCGTCGTTCCTAAGCACGTACAATTTTTTTTTTTTTTATTAGTAAAAATTGTACCTAACTGCGGGATTTGTGAGACCCGGCTTCGCTTGATAATATTTCACCAGGCGTTTTATCTATTCCAATATAAAAAAGATTCAATTTTTCAGGTGGTCACTTCAGAAAACGGCACATATTCAGTACTCATTTTGAGGATGCGCGATAACAGTTCAATCGGCGAGTACAAATGCACAGCGAACAACATCAAGGGGAAAGAATCTATTATATTCCATGTAAATCCAGCAGCTAAACCCAACAAACCTGACTTTGTAAGTGAATTTAAATATTTTAGTGGAGTTAACATTTATTTTTCTCATCACACTCGTGTATATGAATTTTGAAACGTCACTAAATTGTTTAATCCTGTGATTTTTTGTATCCATTTCATCAAAAAAACATCAGGTCGCGTTAAATTAATTATCATTCCATGTTCCGCGTATTGGGACGTAGAATTTGTTTATAAGCAAGAATGGAATTAAATAAAATTAATAAATCTCCACTACTTTAGATATTTATTGTCTTACGATTAATAACTTGAACTTTACCAGTTACAATTTTATGTTAAAATTTAAATGCAATTTTATTTGTGGTAGAAATAGGCAAGCAGTTGCTACCGACCATCTTACCATCATGAACGCTAAATCTTTATCCTCGAATGAACAAAAAACAGGGAAATTGCACATTGCTCAAAGATGTTTTTTTTTTATTGCTTAGATGGGTGGCCGAGCTCACAGCCCACCTGGTGTTAAGTGGTTACTGGAGCCCATAGACATCCACAACGTAAATGCGCCACCCACCTTGAGATACAAGCTCTAAGGTCTCAAGTATAGTTACAACGGCTGCCCCACCCTTCAAACCGAAACGCATTACTGCTTCACGGCAGAAATAGGCAGGGTGGTGGTACCCACCCGCACGGACTCACAAGAGGTCCTACCACCAGTAAGACAGTAAGACTATGGATGACTTGTGTCAAAAATTATAACAATATGTGCTAATTCTCAGATGACTACTAGTCTCGAGTAATCAATTAGCAATGTACTCGTACATATTTTGTGCCAATCTCACTTGTCCTATGTGAAAGGAAGAGGCAAGAAATATACATATACACTAAACCATATTTAATTCCAGGTAAGCTTTCTTTACGCTAACACTACGACTCTGACTTTCAATGTTTCCTGCTCGAGCTGCCCAATGGAACTAGAAGAAGATAGGTCACCCGACCCAGCAAACCTTACTGTTAAAGGTATCCATAAAAATCAAAAAGATTATACATAAAATATCACAAATATTCTGAGTTGGATCAAAAAAAAATACTGTTTGAAATGCAAACATAACTTCGTTCAATGTGAGAACAGGAGGAGGAGTCTTCAAATTTAACTATGGTTGTTTAATTTTTTTAATATTCAGTCATGAAACTAATACTTTAGACAAATCAACATCAATACCTAAAACTATCCAAAGGAAATACATACATTTATCCAGCCCAAACATAAACTATGGACGAACTAACTTTGCCAGATACTCACGAATCACGCCCCTTTATTATCACACAACACTTCTTTATAATTAAACTAGTGACCCGCCCTCGCTTCGCTTCGGAAACATTAAAACAGACATGAAACAAAAAAAAAAAAAAAAAAAAGTAGCCTATGTTCATCAGAGACAATGTCGGCTTCTAATGGAAAAAGAATTTTTCAAATCGGTCCAGTAGTTTCGGAGCCTATTCGAAACAAACAAACAAACAAATCTTTCCTCTTTATAATATTAGTATAGACTAGTACCAAAAACCTTTTATTGTACTAAATAAATTGCTTAAATTGCATCGTTTTAATTTTAATATTATCAGAACCAAGGTAATAAATATTTGTCTGGCCAATAATATCAAGGCATTTAAATGAAAAGTCGATTTCCCTTCAACCTTTTTTTCATGTAAATCTGTTCCCATGTATTACCAAACTAGCAGTTGTAGTAAAAACATCTTCTCAGCGAAAAGAATCCCCTATGGTATCCACTGCTGCTCATAGCTCGCTCTGAAAACTAAGGTCGAGCGTTATTAAACTGTTATTCTCTTCTACTAGGATATTCTTTCCAAATGGTTCCTGCCCAAGAAAATTACCCTCCAGATTGGGATTCCGCTCAAGATTTCGAAGTGGACATCACAGATCCTAACGGTAAGTTATTGTTAGAACATACTTCAGTCGTTAGACAATGAGTCCAATGAGTTTGCGTGCTAATTGCGAAAACGTATCTTTCAACTAACAGCAACGCACAATTGTAATTAGACGGAATTTTCTTACTATAATAAATGAACTTGTAAACATGACCGATGTCTGTAATTGCAACTATCAAAAAATTTAATATATCATAGTTATTAGTATACAGTATTTATACTAATACTATTTAATAATCTTTCCACCCAAGTATCATCAGATATACATAATACCCCAGACCCCAGTTCAAGCACAACTACTGTTTCTTTTTCATCGAACGATATTTTAGAGACATCCTTAGTTAATTTTCAACTATATATCTAGTGATAGAGTATACTCTGGGTCCAAAAGGATCCTCCTCCTTGCGTCGTATTCCTCATTGCTGAGGGTCGTGACCACCCTTTTGTATCACCTTCGCACGATCTTACTCCATCCATTTTTGTCTCTGGTGGTATGGAGGGTGTTGTAAAACGTGGAATCAAAAGCGGTGCGGATCTGGTCGGACCAACGTATTGGGCTGCGCCCCCGAGGTCTTTTCCCATCTACCTTACCAGTCACGATGAGCCTCTCGAGTTTGCTATCATCCTTTTGTGCAATGTGACCAAAGTATTCAAGGACTCTGCGAAGACACTCGGATGACAGCCGGGGATAGATACCAAGAACTTGCCTATTGTTTCCACCTAACCATGCGCTCCAGTTTGAGTGGCCACATCGCCGTACTATTTATCTGCGACCTCAAGAATAGTATTTAGTCGCTATGAACTTCGTTATTCATTTACACCAAGTAACCCGTAAGTTTGTTCACCCATCTATACAAAAAAGAAAAATCTTTGGTGATAAAAATGTATTTTTAGAACAATTAGATACGTTTTTTTTTGTGTAATCGCCGTTTTTTTTTCTCAATTAAACGTTCAGATCATTTAATTGTTTTGTTGTGCAAATTACAAATTTATTGTTTCTGATGCTGGTTCAATGATCAAAATTCGAAATTAATCACTTATACCTCAAAAAGTTAAATTTATTTTAGTACTAGCGGCCCGCTCCGGCTTCGCTTAACAAAAATTTCAAAATAAAAAAAAACACACGCATCAACCCTTCTATTTGCGTTAGGTTATATTATAAAAAAAAGAAAATTATTGTTGGGGTATAACAATAATAGTTAAACATATTCTGTCGTGACACTTTTTGTAAATAATAATGTGCTCTACAAAGTCATAGTATACTATTTTATTCTGTTATCAATGGTTTTCACAGCACACGCGATGTAAAGAATATTTTAGGTAAATTTTTTTTACACCTTGGGTCATATTACTGAATTTTTAGGAAGGTTCCATAAAAAAGAATATAATAGCCTATGTCACTCGGGGATAGTGTAGCTTCCAAACAGTAAAAGATTTTTTGAAATAGGTTCTGTAGTTTCGGAGCCTATTAATAATATACAAACAAACAAATCTTTCCTCTTTATAATACTACTATATATCTATCAATAAAAATTTAAAAAAATTTTTGGGCTCCTCAAGAGCTAAAGACTACGAGCCAATTGACGAACAGAAAATAAAATAGTACTTAACTTATCCGTATTTCTTAAAAGGAAAAAAAAAACTGCCAACACAATGTCTACTTTTTTTTTATTGATAACCCTGAAGCACATTGAGATAAAAAAAAGATAATCGGCTTATACACAGATCAAAAAATGATACTTATCTGTTTTGCTTTTGCCTATTTATGTAGAGATTAAGCGCCTCTTTGGTGAAATGATCAATGACTAACTTAAAACGGAGCCCGATTTAATTACGGATATAGTCATCTTTGTGAAATATATTTGATTTGTTTTGTATATGTTTCCGGTATCCATGGCACGGAAGAAATTTTTATATTGAATGCAATTTTAATTTTAATTGTCTTCAGACACGTTGTTCACGGTCGGCCCACTAGCCAACAAGACAAAGTACCACGTCCGCATCCGAAGCTGCAACGCGGCCGGCTACTCTGAGTGGGTGTACTTCGAGACACTACTAGAGACGAGCCACGCCAGCAGGATCATCGCAGCGATCGCTGTCATCATTGCGGCCTTCACGATTACAAGCTATTTCTAAAATACCTTTCATGTATACAGTATAACACTGGGGAACTTTTGAATTTTTCGTTTACCTTTAGTTCTTCTCATAATTCCGGTTACTCTCGTCTGACAAAGAAGTTGTCAGCCACCACGAAAATATCTGAAAATGAAATTACTATATTTGCGTAACAACGAGTTTGGTGACGACTTCTCGCGATTGGTAACCAGTGTGAAAACAATTTGTTGCCGTTGTTTTTGCCAGATCTATAGTTGATGGTGCACCACTATTAAGTAGCAGATCAAAAAAGGCAATATTATGAAGATTTAATGTTCAAATGAATTTACATATATGTTGTTTTCTATTTAGTTAAGTAATTACTTAACGTATTTATCCCCTGAACTTGAGGTAAATGTAGGTAGATAAAATTTAATTTTAAATACAATATATTCGTAAGTAAGTGTTCATTCGTTTACCTAACGTTATATAATAAAGGCCTCAAACATACATATAATGTTGTTACCAAATAAATAGCCTAAATATCAACTGCATTCGTGCTGAAAATGTTAAATTTATGTAAGTTTTTGGCTTCTTGATTAATTTAAACTAGATTTAATTTAAATATAATCACATTAATATGTAGTTTTCAAAAATAAGCCTTATGTCTTAATCGTGAAACTAAATGTAAATAGATACCTATAATACTGTTGACGGTACGTGCAATTAAGTGTAATTATTCTTTATTAAAATCGCTGTTAGCAACGGGTTATATATTATATGTGGGACACCTTTCTTGACAGTTGCAAAAATTCAATTAGCATGTAAAAAACCATCATAATTTACTTACAACACAATGTTTAAAGAAAATCCGTTTGTCTGGGTATTTATTAGCTAAGCAAACAAGGCCCCAAACTGTTTTAATTTCAGTAATCTCTGGTGAATTCTCATTTTATTAATATTTAAATAACCATTATTTTTAAGTAAACAAGAATAAATTTATGTAACAATGATTCGAAGTGCTATATTTTAAACGTTCAAATGTTAAGTAACGCTTGGATTCGATTACTTTATTTCTATCTGATGGGAGAGAACATAAATAAACAAATTAAAATATCTTTATTTCGAAGTCAACTTACTGTTTTGTAATTAATATATTTTTTTAGTTGTAAATTTCATTTTATTACTATATAATTTAGATTATAAGTTGTATTATGATTGAGTGTATTACTGATATTTTAGTGCTGCCCTTTTGAAGTTGAATGCAGTATTCAATACGTGAAACTATACAAAAAACTTGAATGTTTCTAAATAATGTATTAAATATCTTATGTTTTAAGTAGTAGATTATAAACGCTTTAAAAATAGCAAACAAGCAGGAATTCAATTACTTTTTATTTAGAATACAAAAATAACCGTGACGAGATCATATTAATAGGAACACGTAACATTCCAAATGATTTATTAAATGCATTCCGTAATTTAATGAAAATTTTAAAAATTTCTGATAAATTTTACAATATTATTGAGTAATTGTATTTTGTGATCCTAATAAAAAAAAGTTCCAATTACAATTCCATTCAGGAAGACTGATGTTATGATTTCTTACGTAATAATTTTTTATGTAATCACTGATTTTAAGTTACCCAACGAAACCTTTGTTGTAAATCACTTAACCCTTAAATATGCTACCCTACTGGTTTTCTTAAACGACTTAGAAGTCCAAAGAGAAATTATTTAAAGTAACTACTTTTTTATGCTAAGCTTCTTTGTTACTAAGCTTTTAGAAACGTATAAATGACATTAATAAAAACGTAAGCACCGGTTTGAAGAAACCAAAAATTTCGACCAAACAAAATTGTTGCAAACACGTAATATATTGTTTTGGGAGCGTTTCGTCAAATATTAAAAACACATAGTGTTTTCTTGATTTCCTCTATTTTCTTCGTGTACATAACACAAGATACTAGTAGTCGAGTTATTATTGTTATGTAACTTGCAACAGTGTTTCTGCCTCAATAAAACTGTTTCTAAAAACGTTTTTATTTTTTATTTCAATCATACATAAAAAATACATGCTTACAATAATAGTAACCGATATATATATAATAAAAAACTTCACATATAAACGCTTGAAAGGCAAACGTGACTAAGCGATAATGCGTGAACTTTACACTAGACTAATAATAATTTAAAGTTGAAATACCTGAAAAAAATTATATTTTAACGAATCTAGCCGTTGGATTGAAATGATTTTATTAGACCTGGAAATATATATTTTTTGCGCATCGAATATGGTTATTGCCTATCATTTATGTACAAAGCAGTTATTGTCGCTTAGTCACGTTTGCCTTTCAAGCGTCGATATGTAAAATCAGTACAATACATAATTATGTACATAGGTAGATCGACATGCAGCTTTGGACGTAGTATTGAAGTTTCTGCCCTTCAAACCAGACCACATTACTTAGCCGTAGAAACATCCAGGTATACGTTGCCTTCCCGTGCGATATCAAGAATATCTTCATTATTTTATCCAGGACGACGTTGCTATCCCGTGTGCGATAGCGAAGAATACAATAATTATTTTCAAGGAACTAATCATCTTCCATCTGTTGGTTAGGCTAACAGTTTAACTGCGACTTCAAATTGATTTCCGACGTGAAGGAATCAGAATAAGTCAATAAAAACTACAGTTCGCAGTAGAAAAGATTGAATCACCACAAACAGAAAATTAAATCTGAAAGTAATTTTCTCAGACTTCAATTCGAATTAAGTATTGCATTAGACAGGACCTTGGGCCTATGCAAGCGGCTGTCGAAGCTGAAGTACTAACAACTACTATTCCGACGGAAACGATATTTTGGCCTAGCGGGACATAATTTAACTTTTAATAACAAATTAATATTTAATACACCCGGAATGCACAAGAAACAAATAATGGGGATTTACAGAATTTAAACTGGCACCCACTTGCTCTAAAAAGACCATTGATAACCATGTCAAGCGATTTTTATGCGACATTAGGATACTTATTTACTTATATATTTTTTTTTTTTATTGCGTAGATGGGTGAACGAGCTCACAGCCCACCTGGTGTTAGGTGGTTACTGGAGCCCATAGACATCTACAACGTAAATGCGCCACCCACCTTGAGATATAAGTTCTAAGGTTTCAAGTATAGTTACAACGGCTACTCCACCCTTCAAACCGAAACGCATTACTGCTTCACGGCAGAAATAGGCAGGGTGGTGGTACCCACCCGCGCGGACTCACAAGAGGTCCTACCACCAGTAAAATAGTTTTTATATGAACATACCTGTACTTACGTACGATTTAGGTTATAATTTTTAAATGTAGTCGTGTAAGGAATCGTCTCTCTACCACATATGAATATATAACCTACCGCAAATATAAACATACATAAATAAATATAAATACAATAAAAGGTTTCATGGTTAAATATAAATAGAATACGTATTAGAGTATCTCTTAAACCATCCTCATGACAAACATACAGACAGCAGCTACGACTAAAATGCCTCCAGCAAAGAAGATCCCATAGAATGTCACATCACTATTTCCAACAGCAATACTCTTTGATCTTTCAGTACTAATTTCTTCATCTTGTGGTTCTTCCTGCAAATCCTCGTTTTCAGTAAGAGCTCCAATTTGTATGGGTGTAGACCACGTAGAAACACCAGCACTGTTCGAAACCCTAATACGAACCCAGTAATTCATATTTTTTTCTAATTCACTCAACTTGGTTATGGACCCTGTAATTTAATATTTAAGTCTCTTTTTATTCTATACGGCCTTTTTTAGGATTGAAGGATTACTGGTGGCCCGGAGGCCTTTCCAGTTTTACCAGGGCGAGCAAGAGCTCAGCCAGGAGGAATGAGATTTGCTAACAGCTGCCCGAGCGCCTCCAAAGGAAACCTAACAACTCAAGAGCAGCTGCTTCTCGAATGAATCTACTACCGGATCAGAATCGCGACCTGCTGAGAAGATCCGTCGAGAAACTTAGCGGGCTGATGCATGGGTTAGGTTGCACGTCGAATATTTTACCGAGTTCGACGAGTACGGTTACCTCCTGCTCCTAGTGTTAGAGCTGAAGGCGTCTAATTCAAAGGCTATTGGATCTGATGGATCCGTAAGGACGTGTCTAGGGCGTCGACAGTGACTGGCAGAAGCCACCAATTTCGGGGAGTAGCCAGGAGCGGCAACGATAAGGCGATTATCCTATATTAAGCCTATATACGACGTTGCCTACCGTCTATATATCTTTTATTTTTACCTTTAAAATCAGGATCGTCATCAGAGATAGGAAATTCTTTTGTAACAAGCTCTCCATTTTTCCAATCGTTTTCACTAGGCTCTTCTTTAAATCCAGACACATGTAAATACTGAATTTCAAAACCTTAAAAAATGTCGTTATTACTAAATATTATTATTAGTTTAAAAATATATCATTATTTTTATTTGAAAAAATACAAACCGCCAGCGGGGTTCGTCGTAGTTTCCACCAATTTAAAATCTTTTTCCGCTTCTCCATATTCGTTTTTGGCTGAGCATTTGAAGGTTTCGGTTTGATTCACCGTGACTGTCAATATAGCAGTGTTGGCTTCTTGGTTGAATTCAATTTGTTTCTTGTCAAACTCGATTAGGGTACTATCGTTAATATTTGAGAACCACCGATATGTGGGAGCGGGATATCCTCTTGCGGAGCAAACCAAGTTAATACTGAAAAACATGCGCTTGAAGCTTATTTCATTTAAAAAATATATAGTTTTATTGGAAATTCATATAAAAATGGACTATAATGTGAACGAACGGTACAAGAATTGGATATCTATTATTTTTTGGAACGAAGCTCCTTATGGGCAGGGACGTCTTAAATTAGGCTGGGGCCCTTGGGCACACAAGAATTTGGGGCCCTTTTGGAAAGTAAAAAACGCGAATTATAATAACATTTTTTTTACTGAGTATGACCATTTATTATAGGTAATCAAATACAGTATGATATAATATGTCATTAATGATATTAGAGTGCTGCTGGTTTTTTGATTACGATTACGATAACGAAAACCGTTATCGTGATCGCTAGATGGTGTACTTAGTAAATTAGGTAGGATGCGTTCGGAAATATTATTAATTATTACAGTAGGAATAGGCGCAGTCATCGATATAATAGCGTAGTATATGCCTTGTAAATACCTTCTGATAAGATTAGTAATTTGTGAAAAAAGTGTAATGTGCCCGACAAAAATGTTTTGAGAATAAATGTGTGAGAGAAATTGTCGGTTCTTCGGGGCCCCCTGAGAATGGGGGCCCTGGGCACGGGCCCCGTGGGCCCTTATGGTAAAGACGGTATTGCTTATGGGACGATATGTAATAACGTACAAAAAATAACTTTTTTTTTATCATTCATTGACCACGATCTCAAAGCGTTCGTTTGCGCAATACACTAACTCTTATGCAAACAACCGTGAATGAAGTGTACCACAATAAGTTCGCACGTTACCGAATGACGGTGGGTTGTTACGAAACCTCCAGTCTTATTTTCTTTATACCTCGAATAGAAGTTTAAATTAATATTTTTATAATAAGGAACTTCGTTCCTATCCGGTGTCCCACAACACCACACATTTATTTTTTATATTCGAAACGCCATACTGCTGATTCAATGGATTGTTGACTCGCAGCAATTGTTTTTTACCAGCATTTTACTCGCCAACACCACTAGGAGTATTTCGAATAAACAAGACAGGCGAGACGGACAACAAAAGAAACATGTGTTACTTTATTTCTAATGTTTTTTGCTAACAAATAATACAATAAGTAAGTGTTTTTTGTTAAAAGACAACCAGCACTGGCTTGCTTGAAACGTGACCATTACTTTTTTTTCTCCGAGCAGGAAGCTTCGATATTATAGAGTGTTTATTATTAGCAAATCAATTTTTATCTGTTCTTACGCAAGGAACATGATCAAGATTATACATTTAAATGTGTATTTATATTTCTGATATTACTTAAAGTGTTGTTTAATGGTCTTAAAAAGTTTTAATTTCCTTGTTCTTTGACGATACACTTTTACTTTTTTATATTTTCGTGTCAGCGGGATGTGGGATGATGTTCACAAAAAGCATGTTTCTAAAACAAGATATAAATTACTTTATATACTACATTTATTCTGCACACATACCTCTGATTGAATCGACCATAAACCAACTCGGTATCATTCCCGTCTTCAAAAATTGGAGCATCTAAAACACGAAATTTTAATTTTATGAATGTCATCGTGTCATTTTGGACTTCAAGATCATAGCCCACTGAGTTTCTGAGCCCTCTGAGTTTCTCGCCGGATCTTCTCAGTGGGTCGCGATTCCGATCCGGTAGTAGATTAATTCGCGAAGCAATTGCTCTTGAGTTGTTAGGTCTCCTTCGGAGGCGCTCGGGCAGTTGTTAGCAAATCTAATCGAGCCTTTGCTCGCCCACCTGTCCTGGTGAAGCTGGAAAGGCCTTCGGGCCACCAGTAACCTTTCAATCATAAAAAAAAAAAACATCAAGATCAACAGTCGCGAATAATAAAAACTAAATAAATAAATAGAAAAATGATGTCATAAAAGTCATTTTTGTTTTTTGTCTAGATACCACATACTTACGATTCACGTTTAGAGTGGTGTTCACATAATTTGAGTGTTTGCACTGTTCTGTGTTTTCTTGTATAGCGACGCACGAGTACAATCCGCTGTCTTCCGACGTCAATGAGAATATAGTGAGTGAACTCTCGAATCCATCGCTGCTGAATTTCGTATTCAATTTATATTTCGTGTCGTCTTCTCCTTCTAAAATGTATCCACGTGACTGTAATGGTTCTTAACACGCTTATTGAAAAGTCAACATTATTTATTGCTGTAGATGGGAAAGAAGAGACATGAGGCTCAGTCTCGATTTCATTGTTAAGTGGCTACCATTGATGTATTTTAAGTCAATGGTGGCTGCTCTATTTTTTGAAACTAAAATGCATTAAGGTTCCGCATTAGAAACCAGCACTATGACAGTACCTACCTGAGCGAACTAACAATACCTCATTAGTTTTTAGTTTTATTAGTTTATGCTCTATGATTCTTCTTTCCATTTTTATTAGTTTTGCTCAATGTACAGACACATTAAATTGTACTATATTATGTATTCATGATAATTAATAAGTAATTTATTCCAAAAATTATGTTTATCAAAAGTAATGGATAACACGTAGACCGTGAAAATACCTTTATTTATGAATCGTTTTAAATTAACTAAACTGGCTACAGAGATTAATATCTTACCATTAATAAGATTATCATTTCTTTTCCACTGAATTCTGGGTTCAGGATTGCCTTTGGCGTGACAATTTAACGTTATAGACCGACCGAGATCTGCCGTCACTTCAGTTCGTATATTCTTGAACACTACAGGATCTGGATTAAAAAAAAAACAATTAAATCAAAAAATATAAAAAAACCTTTTATTTCACCCATAAAAAAACTTTTGTTTTGTTGTGGTTGATTTCTAAGCCCGATCGTCTACTTGCTTGTTGTAGAGTATCTATCATGTGTTCCAGCTCTACGCTGTTCTCAAATAGCACGACAAGATCGTCAGCGAATCTTAAATGATCTAAATACTTTCCATTTATATTTAAACCCATCGTGTTCCAATTTAGTTTATTTATTATTGACTCTAATATTGAGATGAAAATTGTTGGTGAGAGGGGTCCCCTTGCCTAACACCCCTTTTAATTGGGATGGTTCTTTCTCTTCAATCTCTCCATGTTATCTATTTTGTTTTTTTGCCATTCTAATTGTTGTTCAAGTAACTCGGTCTTTAAACAAGCAAACAATTACCTGAATGTAAAAGTGTAATGTTAATAACATTTTCCTTTATAGAATAGACTGCAGAATTTGTTAATTAGTGTGAATCACATAAAACTAAAACTAGGCTTTCCACCATATGCCTTCGCAGAGTACTAGAGTTCTTTGGACAGATTGCTAGAAAATACGGTGACAATGTCAATAACTGATGGTGACAGGTAAGATAGAAAGCAAGCGTCCCAGAAGACGCGGTTCCGCGAGTTGGTCGGACCAAATTCGATCTTCTTTGAACATCAAGTTCCACGATGCCCTCTACAAAGCTAAGGTACGCAGCATATACAGGGAAATCTTACATTGGAGAATGATTAAGCGAGAGAGTCATAACCTTTAGCAATGAGAAAAACGACGCGAGGAGAAGGATGAGTATGAATCATAAAACAATTTAATTTTTACCGCTCTCAAAAGCAAAGCGGTCAAGTGTGAACGTTCACACGTTACTGACACGAATTTGGGTTGATAAGCCTTTATTAAACCCTTCTCTTGTGAAAGAAGGTTTTAACTTTAAATGTTCATAAACATTAGTAATAATGGTGATCCTAACACTGAGGACTCTCTTCAAACATCGTGTTAAGTTTACTGGTGGTAGGACCCCTTGTGAGTCCGCGCGGGTAGGTACCACCATCCTGCCTATTTCTGCCGTGAAGCAGTAATGCGTTTCGGTTTGAAGGGTAGGGCAGCCTTTGTAACTATACTGAGACCTTAAAACTTATATTTCAAGATGGGTGGCGCATTTACATTGTAAATGTCTATGGGCTCCAGTGACCACTTAACACCAGGTAGGCCGGTGAGCTCGTTCACCCATCTAAGCAATAAAAAAAAGACAATTCACAATACTGAGGAAGCAACGTGGAGGATCGTTCGTTAACTTTATAGATAAAACGCATTAGTTGCAAGTTTGTACTCTGTTCCGATGGCCGGTAGTGCGATTCTCCGTTGGTGATGTTCGCCTTAAACGATTCCTCAGAACAATCCGAAACAAAAATGCATTCCCAACAAACAATAAGCCGAAACCTATTGCGAATGTAAAAAACATATAAAACAGCCGAAACTGTCCGAGTAATTAAGTCTAATCCGGTAACGTGGCCTACATGGACATAACTGCGTTTAAAAGCAACGGAAATTTTAATTGTATTTCCGTTTTCGCTCGGAATTATGTAACACAAATGCTAAACGTATGACATAATTTTCATTTCGCTACAAACATTGTCTGTGTAACTTATTCTTAACCCTTGATCTGTTTATTTGCCAAAGAGATAACAGTAATTGCATATATGGCGCAGTGAATTTCTGTTTTCACACATTTATTTTATTCAAACATGTAATTATTATTTCGTCATTATTATTTATTATGTCGTTATACAAGATAAATTTACAAAATCGACATGTTTTTTCCATTGTCTGCTTACAGTGACGTGGCAGCGATAACTCACTTTCTGTTGAATAAAATTCTCAGATTCCATTGAATGGCAATGCCTGCTTCGTGGCAAACATTTGGATGGTACCTATCCGTGCGGCCCAAAAATAAACCACAATCGGCGTTTGATTTAATCACCACGATGTTCTTATGTTGTCTTCATGCTGGATAAGGTTCTGGCATGAGTTTTACGACCGGTCACCTACCTGACGTCAACAAAATAAGAAGCACCAGCTTTCAAATTATCGAAATGAGTTCACCTAGAAAAAAGCGTTGAGGTAAATCCCAAAAAAAAATTGCAGTCGAGTTAAGAATACGCACCAATAACACAAACTTCCGCGTGATCACTAGAGTCACCAGAACGACACGTGTACAATCCAGTATCGTCCAACGTCACGGACTTGAAGTGTAAAAGTGAAGCAGGAATGCGACCTGCAGGCGACGGCACCGTATGCTCCAAGGCATATACTCTATTTGATGGTATCTGCTTTATAGCTTTACCAGCTGGGTCTGTCCATTCAATCTGCAATACACATTAACATTAATACTCAATCATAAAATATTGAAATCTATATATATATATATAAATGAATTGCTGGTCGTTAGTCTCGCTGAAACTCGAGAACGGCTGGACCGATTTGGCTAATTTTGGTCTTGAATTGTTTGTGAAAGTCCAGAGAAGGTTTAAAAGGTAGATAAATATGAAAATCCTCGGAATTAAATAAGAATAACAATTTTGTTTTTCTTTTCATGTGTCCCCCGTCAGACGGATTCCTTTTGTTTGTTTTAAGTTTATTTTATACAAAAGCTTAGGTCTTTTATTTATCGATTGAAGCACTACAATGTCTGCCGGGTTAGCTAGTATATAATAAATATACTTATTTGTTTTACTTATTATAAACTTATTAGTTTTTCTATTAACGTCTTTTAGTAACGTCTCAATAACCAAATGTAACACATTACATAACAACGAAAGTTAGAGTCTCGATAACGACAATTCTACCCTTCAAACTGGAACGCGTAATAGCATTACAAATATAAGCAGGGAGGTAGTTCCAATGCTACGCATTTAATATATGTCCCAAGAAACCGGCAGTACTCAAAATAAAATAGGGAATTGAGTTTGAGTTTTGCAGTACAAAGGCGATTAAATAAGCTCACTGCCCATCGATAAACGTTAACTAAAATCCGCAAAAATCGAATGTCGCGATTAATTTCAGATATGATTGAAATTTAAATTTTATTGATTATATTATTGATTGTCACACGCTTCAGACCGAAAAGTATAGCTACTACGCGGCAGGAATAGGCAGGTTTGTAGCACCTACCCGTTCAGGCTCGCAATATATCCAGCCACCAGTTAATATCGGCAGCGGCTATGCCGATGACGTCGATGAGGTACGTCAACCACTGACTATCAAGACAGGCCGTATATAGCGCATATAACGCCAACAAAAACAGTAAAAACGGCTCTGAAATATAACTCGATGATATAGTAGTGCTCGAATCAGAGTCGCATTTGTAATCTACTGATAAATAGGCGGACCGATTAATTATTGTGCTAATCTCTGGCCTGTTTGTTTGTTCGACCTTTATGCGTCCACGACTCATTCATCCGATATAATTGATACTTTGTACAGTTGGCACACTGTTTTATTTGAGTATCAATTCCTAGTACTATGTACCTACAATAAATAATACAGATGTTGTTTCAACAACTGTCTTCACCAATGTGTGTGAATTTGTTATTTCAGATGAGAAGACTGGCCTATGGCCCACCTCAAGTTAATTCTTTACCGAAGACCGATGAATTTAATTTGCAACGTGTGTGTGAATTTGTGTGAGCTCATAATACACTCTACCAACAATATGCTGGTAGGATACTCAGATAACGCTGCTACCCATTCGTTCTTAGTCGCCCACGCGAATAGTTGGTGCTATTCAAGGCCATGTAAATGATGTTTCGCGTGTCTACCGTAATCCATGAAATATGTAAAGATAAGCAAAATGAACAAATTGATCGTTGCTTTGTCGAACTTTCATCGATAATTACCAAAACAAACATTACAGTTATGAAGCTTAATTACATTTTACAATATTTGTCACTTGATTTCAGACCTTTCAAATGCTATTCACGGATAGATATCTATTTACGGATAATTTCTTGGCGTAAATTTAATACCCATACAAAATTTCGTTGAAGAGTTCTGGTATACCTGACTTTATTAAGAGAGCGTTGTGAAATTACCAATGCGCAGACAGAGACTGATCGATACCATGATTGCATATTTTCATAAACAGAAATTAAAGATATCTATAAAAAAATTACTTTTACTTTCTGTATATATGCTAAACAGGAATTCGGTAAGGAAGACCTAATATATGCTCATAGGTGGTATAATTTTGAGCGCGGGTCACGGTTAGTACGCACAACCATATTTATCTAGGCTACTGATTTCTGCGGAAAAACTGTCATAATTTTCGATTTAGGGGATGGGAAAGTTGTTATTTGTTTTAAAAATAAAATCAACACTTTGACCTCATCTCTCAAGATTCATCGACTCATTCTGATTTTTCTGAATATAAACACCGATAACCAACTAACACCAATTAGGCTATAAACTCGCCTATACACCAGAAGCAATGTAAAAGGTCTTACCTTTTGACTTTTACTCGAACCTTTGCAATTAATGGAATGGCGACTGCCAGCTTTCCAAAATGGCGACTTCCGATAGTAATCTATCTTATCCACCGTCACGCGATTTGTTTCCTTTGCGTATACTACAAAAAAAAATTTGGTAAAGTCTACTGAATTATTGAAACCTGTTAAGATTGGCAGGGTATCAAGAGTTCCTTGTTTAGTGTCACCAAATAATAAGTGTGTCTTTACTCAGAAGGAGAACATAGTATCCTAATCTAGACTCGATCGTTTATCGCTCGATTTTTTAACGTAAGAGGTACTGACTAGTTCTTAACATAATCTGGGCCTGCATTTTAAAGCAAAGTATAAAAAAATGCTTAAAGTCAATTATGAAATGTAATTTTCGATTTAAAATATTGGTATGTGCAAAAAGTAGAAAGATCATCAATGAACCAATATTTTATGTCTAGTATGTTAATAATAAAAGTAAGATAAAATGTATAGATTAACGACACAAAACTAATTGTGAATCTTCAACCTTTCAATCTTATTTGGTCATCACCTACCTGCTCTATACAACATGTATACCAGAACTATTAAATAAAATAACCACTTCATCTTTTACACTCTTAATAGCACACCATTAACTTTTTTTTTACCGAGTGATATATTTTTTTTATATTTGTTTTTTTTTATAAAACTCTTCGTGGTATCACTGCGGAGCACGAGATGAAAGTGCCGTGCCATACACCAGCAAATAGGGCTTATACAATAAGTACATGTTAATTAATTGTAACATTAGTTAATTCACATTTAAGCGTTGTTGCCACAATGTCATAGCTGAGGAAGTGACACTTAGCTCATTCAATTGAGAAGGTCACGCAAACAATGTGAAAACAGAGAATAAAAATAATTCATTTTCATAAAAATCGAATTAATTATAAATATTTTCTAAGCCTTTCCTTATAGTCGAACGAAGAAATTGCATTTACTCAGGTTTTTTAAGTCTGGTATCGGTAACCCAATGTCATTATGGCGATCAGATGCCTGATATATTCGTATTAAGCGAGGCACCCAAACCAGTATTCGAATCTCACAGGCAACTTCCAATATTCTTATGCTCACTATAAGCATGAGTTCACACATACATACAAGCTTCTACAATGACGGAATAACAACGTGTTATAAAATTCAAATACCCAAAAATTATTATTATTATTAATTAATACGTAATTGCTGTACAATTGATATATTGATGGGTCCGGTAACCGGTTAGCACCAGGTAGGCCGCGAATAGACAGCGGCTTGGCTTTCCCCCATGACATTACTGACGTACACGAGCGACGGTATTCACTTACCATCAGATGGATCGTATAATCGTCTGCCTACAAGGGAAATAAAAGATAACAGAAATTGTTCAACCATTAATACAATACAACAGAGAAAACTAATAACAGCAATGATCGGAAACTGTAAAGACTAAGTAGTCGAAGTACTAGAAGTCGTATAGCGAAAATAATGAACACGAAAATCAGGGAATGATCTTAACAAAATTATAAAATAATGTCATATATATCTGTTAAGTTTACACCCACATTTTTGTCTGTTTCGCCCACACGTTTGTGAATCAAAAAATTAGGAATACCGAATGATTATAGCAAATATATTATTCTTGTATCAGTCAGGGATCAAGTTATTACGTTACGGACTTCTTTGTCCAACATTTTCTTATTTATACCGCAAAGCTATCCTGAATTTCGATCAACTAAGCTTGATCCATTTTAAAACGTACAAAGAAATCAGCAATATACTGCGCAATATAAAATCTAGACTTAATGAATAAAAAACAATTAAAACTACAACAATTAAATGTTATCTATTATATTTCTAAAAACCTCACGAGAATGTTGCTGTGTAGATTAAAGTTACGATTTTCGTTCAGCAAATAAGAAAATTAGAATGCCTCTAACTATTTCGTAATTGGCGTACATCCATCCACCTTTGATTGTCTTGTTGCCTAGTAAGGAAAACACAATAAAAACTAGAAAAAAAATCTATTTGTTTGTAACAAATCATTTGATTCCCACGAATATAATGCTTCTTAATGTTATTTTGATAACTCAACAATCTATTTTTTACTTATACTTTTTGATATTTAATTGAGTCAAAATAAAAATAACAATAACATGGCTTTATTTGATTGATTCCACAATAATGAAATAGAGCTTAATTATTCTAGTATTAATTATTATATTACTAAGTAATCATAATAAATCTACTACTCATGCTATTTAATCTCCTTCTAATGTGGACCCCCTGAGGGTACAAGCCTCCTCCAAAGAATTCAATTTTTCCTTATCTTGCTGTTCATCCAGTCTCTTCCTGCTTTGGATACAATCTCGTCCTGCCACCTGGCACCAGGGCGACCTCTACTTCTCACGTCCTGCGGTTCTTTCCATTTTGTGATGTTAATTGTCCATCGATTGTCATCGTATCTCCCAATATGGTCAGCTCATCTCCATTTGAGACTTTGAGAGAAGTGTAGAGCATCGTTTACCTTGGTTATTTTAAGATTTTTTATGTTTCTAACTCTATCTCTCAGCTTTATATTTAAAGAGCTTCTATCCATTGCCTTCTGAGTTGTCTGTTTTTTTTGTCTTGCCTTGTGATCGTAAATCCACGTTTGCCAGCCATAGGTTAGACAGGATAAAATTGTTGTATCTTAAATTATACTCTCCAATTTAAGCGGTAGTTGCGATTTGAGAATATCTTTTTGTGCCCAGTACTTTCTCAGTGTAATTTCTTTATTTATTGCTTAGATGGGTGGATGAGCTCACAGCCCACCTGGTGTTAAGTGGTTACTGGAACCCATAGACATCTACGACGTAAATGCGCCATCCACCTTGAGATATAAGTTCTTAGATCTCAGTATAGTTACAACGGCTGCCCCACCCTTCAAACTGAAACGCATTACTGCTTCACGGTAGAAATAGGCGAGGTGCTGGTACGTACCCGCGCGGACTCACAAGAGGTCCTACCACCAATAGTTACGCAAATTAAAATTTGCGGTATTGATTTTTATTACACGATGTTATTCCTTTACCATGGAAGTCAATCGAGAACATTTTTTGAGTACGTATTTCATTAGAAAAATTGGTTACCGCCTAGGATTCGAACACTGATGCATCGCTCAACACGAATGCACCGGACGTCTTATCCTTTAGGCCACTCAAGCAATAGCTACTCTCCTTTGTATTTCTTCTATGTTTCGGTTTTTCCTAAATGACATTTGCTTACTAAGGTAAATCATCTCATCATCATCTGGTGTCATCTCGCTGTTAGTCAAGATATTTGTTTTTTCTAAGTTGATTTCCAGCCCAGCATGAACACTAACAGTTTGAAGGTTGAGTCAGAGGGTAATTTAACTATGGTAGCGCGCTTCTATTATCAGAGCACGATGGTGACTACCATCATCATTTTCAATGACACTGGCTAGGCAGGACTATTCGACTCAAACAAAATCGTCGAACTATCGCCCACGCATTGGGAACGTTAGGCAGACCAAATTCAAGTTAAGCTGACTCAACTCAAAATCACGAAAATATCTTCAAAATGTGACGCTTTAGGAATTCGAATCGAAATAATGATTCGATTACTGGGTTTTTTCTTCAAAGTACATCACTAAACGGTTCCCCAAGAAGCAGATACACCAATAGTACAAGACAAGCAATTTACATAAAAACTAGTTTTTTTTTTAAAACTATTCGCGTCATTATCATGTGGTCAACAAAAAACGGATTACAAGAAATTCAAGCGACTTCCTGTCTTTGATTTTTATTAGACGATGTTATTCTTTCAGCGTGGAAGTAATTTGTGAACATTTGTTAAGTACGTATTTCATCAGATAAATTAGTACCCATCAGCCTCTTTTTTTATTTATTTTTATTTCTTAGATGGGTGTACGAGCTCACAGCCCACCTGGTCTTAATGGTTACTGGAGCCCATGGACATCTACGATGTAAATGCGCCACCCACCTTGAAATGTAAGTTCTAAGGTCTCAGTATAGTTACGACAGCTGCCCGACCCTTCAAACCGAAACGCATAACTGCTTCACAGCAGAAATAGGCATGACGGTGGTACCTAACCGCGCGGACTCATAAGAGGTCCTACCACCAGCCTGCGGGATTCGACCACTGGCGCATTAACATCACTCCATACGAATGCACCGGGCATGTTAACCTTTAGGCCACGACGACTTAGTCATGATTAAAATATATCAAAATAAGATAAGTTCAGAATCAAGTTCAATCTATACGTCAAATATCAGAACAGTCGTTTATTTCGATTTCTCATCGACCGACGTATGCGGCATTTCTTAGTAACCGCTGGTTTCGTATTCATTATGTTTTAGTTTTATTTTATACTAGCTTTTGCCCGCGACTTCGTCCGTGTAGAATAGTTACTTTGGCATAACGCTAAATTTTACCCGCGACTTCATTTACAGTACTCAGGATTGGAACTTCATTACTGAACCGGTAGATGGTGTTGAAGAAGCTAGATTTTGAGATTTTTTGACAAACAATTTTTTAATTTTTCTTAAAAAATATTTTTTTTTCTTAATTTAAAGTATCCTATGCTACTTCTAATACCTCCAAGAATATGTGTACAAAGTTTAATGATGATCGGCTGAGTAGTTTTCGCATGAAAGCGTAACAAACAAACTTACATTCACATTTATAACTATATACATATATTAGTAGGGACTAGACGTGTCGCGCGATTTCACAACCATTACAAGACATGTGTTATTCGGAATTCATTTCATTTTTCCGGTATATAATGTTGCTTGTGTCACTCTCTGTCAATTTTATGGAAATTTATTTTTTCGGCTTCTCACAATGGCTACCATGGGAATCATCACTAGGCGTATGCCTTGCGTTATGATTCGATTCGTCCAAATTAGTTCTTAATAGGGTTTTATTTATTTATTTATTTATTACACTTCATGTAAAATTTACATTGGCGGACTTAATGCCTAAAGCATTCTCTACCAGTCAACCAAAGGTAGTGCAGAGTAAATAGTGGTAGGTGCAATGAAATTTATATTAAGTTAAGTTACGAATACATACGCCAAAAAGGTACATATATATATATATATACATATATACACACAATCACATATACATACATGTATATACGTACATACATACATATTTTAGTGAAATACGTTCGGAATTGGATTTCCCTATACATTCTGAATTGGATTTGCGTAAAATTCATTTTAAGTGACCTCCTACATCACAAAAAGAGCATGTATACCCAATTTAAAGACTGTGAGACGGATAGTTCAGATGATCTCGTGATGGGTGAGATATTTTACTTTTACATTTAAAAATAAGATAGTGTCATACTTCGTGGCTCACGCAAGTTCTCCAATGATTCTAGTACTATCTGTTCTAGTACTATTTGTTATAATATCTCTACATCAAAGCAAAAGTCGATTTTATGCAAATCTTTTTTTTATTGCTTAAATGGGTGGACGTGCTCGCAATCCATCTGGTGTTAAGTGTTTACTGGAGATCCCATAGATATCAACAACGTAAATGCGCCACCCACCTTGAGATATAAGTTCTAAGGTCTCAAGTATAGTTACAACGGCTGCCCCACCCTTAAAACCGATACGCATTACTGCTTCACGGCAGAAATAGGCAGGATGGTGGTACCTAACCGCGCGGACTCACAAGACATCATACCACCAGTAATTTACGAATTGTAACTTTGTAACTTCTACGGGTTTGACTTTTATTACACGATGTTATTCCTTCACCATGGAAGTCAATCGTGGACATTTGTTGAGTACGTATTTCATTAGAAAAATTGGTACCCGCCTTGGATTCGAACACCGGTGCATCGCTCAACACGAATGCACCGGACGTCTTATCCGTTAGGCAACGACGACTTCGATTCAATGACGAACTTATGCAAATCACTTTTATAATACGGATTCGTGTGCAAATTGCATAATCTTTTTCGTGGGATTTCAAACTCTATAGCAAGGGTCGCCAAATGGCGAACCGCGGTTAGATCCGGACCGCGCCGACCCATTTTGTGCGGACCGTTTGAGTTAACTTTTACGATATCGAGAACGCTAAACAAAAATTGCACTAAGCGCACGAAAAATAAAACGAAGGTAACTAACGCATTAGCAAATCCGTCCGCTTTATTATAAACCTGTGTCACCTACTTTACATTGCATACAGTGCAATTTTTTTTTATGACAAAACAAATTCTGCATTATGTTTTTTTTTTTCGGTCTATTTTCTATGTGTGTTTGTGTTAGGAACTTCAATCAACAATAGTATGTTGATCGAAGGTTAGGAATCATTAGAACTTAATTTTCGGAGAACGGTATAAAATTGGATTTCTTTTTTAAAATGTAGTTTTTAATTAACTAAAAAACAAGAGTCCACTAGTCAATTTAAATATTTTTTTTGTTGCTTAGATGGGTGGACGAGCTCACAGCCCACCTGGTGTTAAGTGGTTACTGGAGCCCATAGACAACTACAACGTAGACGCGCCACCCACCTTGAGATACAAGTTCTAAAGTCTCAGTATAGTTACAACGGCTGCCCCACCCTTCAAAGCGTAACGCATTACTGCTTCACGGCAGAAATAGGCAGGGCGGTGGTACCTATCCGTGCGGACTCACAAGTGGTCCTACCACCAGTAATTACACGCACCATGATCGATAGTATTGTTTACACTGTCCGGAGCTAGTGCTGGTACCAAATAAATTTTTCCAGTAATTGTATTGATAAGTACAAAGCAGTGCTTAGTTCGGTTCAAGAGCGATAATGAATCCGCTCACCGCAACGAACACACCGATTGGAACATAGTTTTGTTATACAAAGCAAAGAGAACACAATCGCGAAGCAATAGCTATGTTTTGTCAGTGAGCGTCCGATAGTCGTGCGGGTTGTACGTGTTTTAATTCGTGCGGCAAAACGCAACGGTCGAATATCGAACAAGAATTCGCGGGTGTGTACGGAGAAAGCTAAAAATAAAAATACGTTCATAAATGATAACTAGTAGATAATAACTGTACTCGTAAAACAATGTAAGTATCTAATTTTAATATATAAAAAAAAAAACGATATTCTGAATACGAATTTTATTATCGTACTTTTAGATTGCAATGCAATAATAATTTCACGATCATTTATATCTACCTTACATTTATTGATTGATTTCTTAATCTAATTAACGCTGAACAGTTACATAAAACCTAACACAGTGTGCAGGCAGCTGTTATATCCATCTGTCTTTCTTTCATCCAATCTATTTTAATTCATCGGCGATCTAAATTAAATAATATTCAGGTACTTCCCGCTTAAAACTATTTTTCTCTCATTATTAATACATACTCAGATTGAGATATAAATTAAAACGAATTAATTACGACCGAATTAATTCGAATTGTCATTGTCAGCGATACATCGCATCGCAGATATCCCGTGTCAGTCAAATTATATTGTAGTGTTGATATCATATTGTAAAACCATAAGATATTTAATTTTGTAGTGGGTTTTTTTCAGCGTTATGCTCACACTTACTCGGCCTACGATTTTGGGTTTAACCGCGAACTAGGTAGCAATTATATTCGGGGCAGGCAAAAACGCTTTCTTCGAATCAACTTGTGAGTCACAATACAGAATGATTGTTCTTTTTTAACACGTGTATTTTATAAAGTAAACCATGACGAATCAGACCCAGTAAATGATTACAGTTTAGATCAGTTTAGGCATTATATTATGTAGTTCGAACGTAAATATAAAAAAATGTTTATGTGTTGTTGCTAGAAACATAAAAGCTTCAAATATCGTAATAAAATCTACTGCTTCATAATAGGGCGGCCGCAATACTAGTATAGTTTTCTAACCTAGCCCTCCTACTAATTCGTATCAAGATTTTCAAATCAGTATTACCACTTCGAAAAGGGTATTGTTAGTAGTTGAAACCCTACGCTTAACAAAATTCCAATATGAACATCTCTATGTATATATTTTGATACTGCTAATTTGGGTAAGAAGCGTGCTTCAAACTCAAGTATAATCGAGAAACAAGCGGGTACGAGAAAATGCAAAAACTCACAGAAATACTTTTTTTAATTGGACGATGGATCGTCGACTATAAACTAGACTGTTCACCTCAAATGAAACATAAACGAAATCCTACAGCTACAAAAAAAGGTCAACGCGTCACAGTTCGAATTTATTGTCGATGAAAACTAAATACATAATATTTAATATTGCGCACATTTGCATTACATAAAAACCGGTTTACCCAATTCAATAGCGTTTATGAAATTTTACATTCGCGGTTCACTTTTATATTTTAAGTGCAATGACCGCAACTTTCTATTAGTCCCACTACTGCAATACTATAGACTAAACACGAGAGTTCGTTTGAGAGAAAGTATATAAGATTCGGGAATAAAATCAATTATTATTTTGACTTTCATATAAAAAAAATGCTATCTACTATTATTTGTGTAAATACTCTGAGTGTGCATTTCGACTCAACTAAGCACTGAGCATCAAATTTTGTATATCACATTCAATATTCACATTTTGTATATCATATCAATATACACATATTACAGTCCTTTTACAGGATTGCATCTATTCGACAAGTATTCTCATTTCATTGTGTAACATATTGAAATGTTCCTAATAGTTGTTTAAATAACTACTTAAAGCTCACAATTAGTGGTAGATACTAGTGAGTGCCTATATGTGCGGTGAAGCATTCAGTTGTGTGTCTGGCTTCCAGGGTATCGAACAACACAATTGACTATTGGACATTGTGAACTAAGAAAGGAGCTGCCTTCACGTTGTGATTGTTAGGAGATTTACTAAATAGTTCATATAAGGACAGACAGCTAAGATAAGCTCAAGGCCTTGCTAGAGCCTAGAGCTTGTCAGTCTATTTATGTAACGAATATAAATAAATTTATGTAGAATAGGGATCGTAGCGCATAAAATTAAAAATTAATTAACACTTTTGTTACGCCTTGCTCATTTTTTAACCGTCTTCGCCATCTTCCTTTCCTCTTCTGTCATTATGTCTGTCATTCTCTTTTCCCTTTCTTTCCATTTTCTCTTACACTCACATCTTAACTCTCCATTCCACACTTTTTTCATACATTCCGTTCTTACCAATCCTATATTTATGACAAGTAAATAAACGTCGATCCTTAAGGGAAGCCTTTCTGTAACATATTGTTTTAATTGTACAGTTATATGTAGTTGCAAGGTACGGCGGCGTCTTAATGCATTGTCTTGCAGTACTTTAAAGGGCTGATGATATAGAGAAAATCGTGAGTCAATTACAAAATATTTTTTTCATTACAGCATCGCAAAAAACTACATAGAGTGAGTGTAAACTTACCGAAAATTTTCCTCTTGAACAACCAGAATAAATAATAAGCTTTGTTAGATTGTGCAAATAGATTAGCTGTACTAAAATGTAATAAAATAAATATATATTTCATTTTAAATGTGAGTAAATTTAAGCAGAACAAAGCATAATAAAATGTTACCAAATAATTTTCCTAATTAAATAAATTCTTCCATGTTTGGAATTAAAATTTAATTAAAATTATTTTTAATTAAATTAATATTTTTTTGCTTACTAGCTGACCCGGCAGACTTCGTAGTGCCTCAATCGATAAATAAAATACCTAGACTTTTGTATAAAATAAACTTAAAACAAACAAAAGGAATCCGTCCGACCGGGGACACATCAAATGAAAATCAAAATTGTTATTTTTATTTAATTCCGAGCATTTTCATATTTATTTACCTTTTAAACCTTCTCTGGACTTCTACAAATAATTCAGGACCAAAATTAGCTAAATCAGTCTAGTCGTTCTCGAGTTTTAGCGAGACTAACGAACCGAAATTCATTTTTATATATACTAGAGGTCCCGCAGTAGTCGAAATTCGACTATAATTAATTGGAATTGTAAGTTTGTACACTATTATGATTGTATTTTATACTTCTATAATCACAAATTTCGCCAAGGCTACACTATAAAAAAATATTATTAAAGACAAACAATATTTAATCTATTCCCAATTTGACCACAGACGTCAAGAACAAAAGTTTGACAATAAATAGTATGCATGCGTGTGTGTGTCAAATACATGGTATGTAGTGTGTGTAATGTTTTCTTTATTGATTTAAAGTATATTTTATGCATTATTTTAAAAAAAAATTAGCATAGTGCACTTCTTCTCTATATTCTCTATAAGTGTAGAAAATTTCATACTCCTCCGTCCGCGCAATTTTCGTAAAAAAGGATACAAATTTTTTGCTTCACGTATTAATATATAGATAGATAGATTATTGTTCTATTTTTATGAAACAAGCCAAACGAAATAAGTAGAAATGTCTACTATTACCATGCCTACAGTATCCATTACGCGATAAACTTCTGTTTCCCAGAAATTTTAGCGAGACGTGGCTAACTATCCAAAACAATTGCTAGTGAGCATATAAGATATTCTTAGAAATGTGAAGTAATGTTATGATTTCTGAATACTTTTTAAGTAAAGCTTAGTGACATGAAGCAAGCCTATAAAGACGTGTAAATTGCGTCTCTCCTCTAAACTTTTATGCTACTGGACAAACTCAAAATGATTAGATATTACCGAACTGGTGGTAGGACCTCTTGTGAGTCCGCGCGGGTAGGTACCACCACCCTGCCTATTTCTGCCGTGAAGCAGTAATGCGTTTCGGTTTGAAGGGTGGGACAGCCGTTGTAGCTATACTTGAGACCTTAGAACTTGTATCTCAAGGTGGGTGGCGCATTTACGTTGTAGATGTCTATGGACTCCGGTAACCACTTAACACCAGGTGGGCTGTGAGCTCGCGCACCCATCTAAGCAATAAAAAAAAAAGAACTTAAAAAAAAAAAATTTTTTACTGCGAAGTAGTCATGCACTCCGATATGAAGGGTGGGACATCCGTTATACAATAAAATTGAAACATTGACCTTGTGTCATGACTCATAAAATATGCAAGTTGTAATGCCAAGGGACCAACCAGATATAGAAAAAGCGTTAAACGACAATCTGTTTGAACAAAATAAGTGGTGTGTGTAGAGAGTGATATTTTCATATTTAACCACACTAATTTCACGAATATTATTTACTTTGTATTTAATTCGTGAATGAGCATCCCAACTATGGAACCTTTTAGATCATAGTACCAAACGCATTTAGTATGGTTTTTTTCAACGACTTACGCGTTTTGTACCACCGCCCCGCCTATTTCTGCCGTGAAGCAGTAATGCGTTTCGGTTTGAAGGGTGGAGCAGCCGTTGTAACTATACTGAGACCTTAGAACTATATCTTAAGGTGTGTGGCGCATTTACGTTGTAGATGTCTATGGGCTCCAGTAACCACTTAACACCAGGTGGGCTGTGAGCTCGTCCACACACCTAAGCAATAAAAAAAAAAGAAAAAAAAAGTCAAATGAGCACAAAAAAAGAAACATTTTTGTTTACAAGTTTAATATATATAAAACAGGATTTCTGAGAATCTAAGAGAAATCTAATAAGCCTTTACATAATGAGTTTTTAGTAGTGTAAAGTAGTAATTTAAATAAGTTTATTATTAAGTAGCTTACTCATCTGTGGCTTCTCTTACCTGCTCTCTCTGTACTCATTAAAATCACTACGATTATATCATCTAATTTCATTGGATCATCTGGATTAAAAACACTTATATAATTTAAATCATTATAATCAACTTTCAAGATTTGTTTATAGTATAGCTGCTTCCAAACGGATAAATCTATAATAACTATTTGCTGCATTCGTGCAGTATCCAGCCGTCAGTCACCCTATAAAAGATTATGCATTAGAGATCATCGTAAGTTCCACAAGCTCGTAACAAATGTAACAAATCGTAAATGTTGTCGCGTCAATTGCATTCAGTGATTTTCTTCCCCAGTCAACTTGAATCGAGTTGGTTACGAGATGGTTACGAATTAATTTTACACAGTTTTGAAATTGCGCCGCGTGTCCATTGGCGGCGTGCGCCCGAATAT